TAACGACTAGAAGCTTTATTATACACGATCTTATGATAAGAAAAGAGACGAATGGGGCTTAAAAGGGCTATAAGAGGTTAGAGTACAACGTTATTTATCAGTAGTTTTATCCAAATTCATATGTTACAGGGACTTCGAATCTCCGCAATCTCCGAGATCGTTAACTTTTTTACATCACAGGAGAGATCGTCGATTATAAGGGGGCTAATTTCACCAGAAAAGCGACAAAATAGATTCAGTATTTGGAACTTATGACCGAATAGACTTGCTTTTCATGGTGGGATCTAGATTGCGTTACCCTACCGCAATTACTAATCGTGTAACTTTTTTTCTGCCAGGTTTTTTAGATCTAGCGAATGGACGGTATAAATAAGCAAGTTTCCACCTTAAGATAAGTTAGCAATAACATTATTTTTTGCTCATATATATCTTTACTTGGTTCACTTGCCCGTATTTTTTTAAGTAATTTGTTATTTCATTTAACGGAGACTATGAAAATGAATTTTTGCTTGCTTTGATTTTTTTTTGTATTTAGGAACGAAAAATGAGCGCTAATGATAACACCGCCTCCAATACTAATGATACTACCACCCCCAAGACTAATGATAGCACCACCGCCATAACCAATGTTACCACCACCACCCCCAGGACTAATGATAGCACCAACGCCATAACCAATGTCACCACCACCACCCCCAGGACTAATAATAGTAACATTCCCAATACCGTCTATCCTATCACCTCAACACCACCCAATCCAAGACCTAGCCAAAGAACATTTAATTCCAATCGTCAACGCAGAAATAGAAGAAACAGATATGGTAAGTAAAATTCTACCTTCTTACATCTATTTTAAGTCAAAGAAAATAAAATATGGTTTAATTTTGTGTATTAATTTAGATGATCCAGACTATGATCCTGATGAGGAGCATGATTTAGACAATTATATGTGGTATGGAGATAGTGCTAGTGGTGATTGTAGTGATCAAGAGAGATATAATAGAGGTGAAATTGAATAGTATAAAAAAATAAATACAGTTAAACCCCTCTATAGTCACCTCCTCTATAGTCACAAAATTGGTATAATTACAAATTTATTTTTACCAATTATTTATAACTATATAGAAAATACCTCTATATTAGTCACACCTCTTTACAATCACAGTTTTTTGTATCCCGAAGGTGTGACTATAGAAGGGTTTGACTGTATATATTTTTTTATTTGTATATTGTTGCTCGGCAATAATTATTAAATAAAGAAGGGGGTTGGACCCACCGTTTTTTATTTTTTTACGCGATTTTTTTACAATGTAGTGAAGACTATTGAGTTAACTTTATTTACCTATTCTCTTACGGTTGCTATTGGGATTCCAGCATCGCGTGTTAATATGCGCTAATTAAACGATCTGAATTTTTATAAGTTTTTTTTCCTCGAATAACTGATAAAGTATCATATCGTCTTTCAGTCTCATAAAGATCATCAAAGTATCGTTGATAATCACTAATTCTGTAATTCCACAATAATTGTAGATATACGACTTTACATATTTCATATCATATCCGGGACGATTATTAATGAGCTTCACTGATTTAGCTTTTTTATTGATAATAGTTGTAATAACATAATTGGTGATTTATATCGAATTTAGCGTTTTTGACCTATTAGATTTGGTACAATATATATGATTAAAACCAGATTCATTTTTAGCGCAGATGCTCGAAGAGCGCCCCAACTTCTATCCATTGTTATTTTGGCCGGCCAATTAACTAATTCTCGATTATATGTTAAAAAATATATATATTAATAAAATTGTAATCTTCACATAAAAAATACACGTTTTGCATATATGTATCTTATATTTTATTTGAAACAATAAATACCCCTTTTCGAGTTCCTCTTTAATACTGTTTTGGTCAATAACCTTTATCTTGATGAGGCGTGAATGTGTATTTGTCAGGTCAAAAAATAGTACATTTGGTTAATACAAGTTCCCATACTACTATCTCCACCTACGAAAACAGTGTTTTTTTCGGCTTCGATTTCGTCTTTTTCCACCTACGAAATATGCAGAGCATATTTTTTCGGTTTCCACCAGTAATCCACCTACGAAACATGTTTGCACATGTTTTTTCGGCTTCTCCACCTACGAAACATGCGTTACGCATATTTTTTCGGTTTCCTGGCAACCGCCCCGATCCACCTATTGAAACATAGAAATGTTTCTCGGCTTCTCAACACCGACTAAATGCCAGAAGCATTACTCAGTTTTACCCGCCTACCGAAACACGAAGAGTATTTCTCGGCTTCGCGGAAGGGAAAAATTGCATTATGCCAAAGTACTAAAATGATATTAACGGTAAGAAAAATAGATGTAAACTGAGATGATGATCTAACCGTTTAAGGGGCAAATGTATCGTTCTTGACCTGTGTGACGGGTCTAGTGATTAAAGTTGGATAATTTTAGATGCACCAATCAGATTTCTTCTAATAGTCACCTGAGATCTTGTATAAAATTACGCGCCAAGAATTATCGCGTTCGACCATCGACGTTACGCGCAATATTTTTTACAATGACTAAACTATCAAAGTGGCTCAAAGGAAATCTCAAGGATAATGTTAAGGAAACATTTGAAGCAACTATCGAACATCTGCTTAAGTTAAACCCTCCCATAAAAAAAGGCAATAAAAGACAGGCCTTGATGTCTTCATTACAAGCTTTGATGAAAAATGACGAATCCGTACATGAAGAATACGAATCCCTAAATGCGTGGGTTAACGTTAATAATTCTGAGAAAGAGAAGAAGAAGAAAAGTTTAAAGATTGTTGATAAAGAACACCAAGCTATGTTCAAAAAAGCTCGTGTTGTTCAGTACAATATCTCTTATAGAGCAGGTTCCGCACAAACGCAAAATTCAAACAATATCGTGAGTGAACATGAAGTTTCTACAGACATTAAAGAAGCTCAGGAAATAAATCCACTAAATGGACAGAAAGTAAAAGAAGAGAAGGAGGACAACTTATTATTACGAATTCCGCATAAGTTTTCATTCT